TGTTTGAACTTCAAACAATGTTCCTCTCTTAGTTTATGCCGCTCCAAGGAAAACAACCTCAAGCATTCTTCATATGACTTCCTATGTTGACCTTGCATTATCCTGGTTGCCGGTTCCTGAATTACTTCTATGCAAATAAGCACCACGGAGATACGGCGATCATGTGTGTATACAGTACTCTAAATGGATCATAACCGCTGCTTCGTACAATGACTGCAAACTTCTTGTTTGGTGTTAGCGCCCATTTGACGCAATACAATTATCGATAGAACGGCGACTGAGACCAAATTTCCAACCAGTACCATGTTTATGCTTGTTTCCATAATGTTTCTCCATAATTCCTGTAAATGCGGTGCTAACTTTGTTACCACACTCAATGAAGCACGAATTTCGGGAGATAACATGTATTAAAATAACATTACAGTACCTCAGCTGTACGCCGTAAGGGCGCTTCGATGCAGCGAGACCACCGCCAGTTGCGCTTGGATTGAGTATGCCGCGAGGACAACCACCCCTAGGTGGATTAGAACCGGTGACCTTATGATTGCAAGCCAGGCGTGCAGACCACTCGACCACCGGCCAGCAGTAACATGTATTGATTTCAAAATATCAGCGGAATCGGTCAGCTCAGGTCAAGATCCTGGACGATGAATGAAGAAGCACGTGTCGAAACGGGTTCAATGCGAGATAGCACAACAAACGGTCCCAAGTCAGACTGCACGTGCGCACAAGACACCGGCATCTACGATCGCCAGGCACTTACTGACCTCAGGTCATCTGATCGAGGTAAGCACAGCATTCAAAATTCTACTATGTCGCACCAGTTCACGGGTGCTGCGATTTGCTGAGGCTCTTGCAATAAACCGGTGAACCGGTGCTTTGTGTCTGAAAGCAATTGTCGGTCAACCTCAGATTACACTGGACATAGAGGCACCAGTTCCGTTGGTGATCTGTGTTCGCTGAGCTCGACAGTTTGACTGCAGTCAAACTGCCGAGATCACCAACTGAACAACCTCAGCTACCAACACTTGCTTCTACATCACAAGTTCTGTTGTTTTTTGTACTGTTTGCTTGCATCATCTAATCGTTGTACGTGATTCCAAGTTGCCGTTTTCGGCACTGACGAGACGGTACGAAATGTATGCATCTGCCGATTTTCGTCTTCTCACTGCAATTTTCAACTTGCTGTGGGTACTAATTGCTTCAAATTCCTTAAACGACGTATTCCCCCAGATGCTATCAAGGTGCTCCATCGCATTGTCAATTTGAGGTGCCAGGGTTACACGTAAGCCTGTGGAAATTGACTTCCTCTCGGAATGTCTTCTCCTGCTCCCTATTCTCGACCGATATTTACACTGTTATGCAAAACAGGCTCAAGCCTACTGGAGTTAACCTCAGACGCGTCACATCCGCTCACCTGAAGACCACATGACACGCATACTGGAAGCCCATGCACGTCCACCGCCTGTAGTCGAAGGTTTATCAATCTGCTGTCCAATTGTGTACGTACATTTTTGTAAAATGACCATCGATGGTACAATAAGGACGAATTAGCTAGACTCGAAAAATCGTTGGCGAACTTGCATAACGAGAAACATTGTATACGTGACCGAAGCTGTGAAACGTGAGGCTTGAAGATCTGAATTTGGAGTCACTGTCGTTCGGACCTGATTATAGAGTGCACCCAAGATGGTTGAATGGGTTGTTTATTGAGAAGCAGTTTGAGAATTTCTTTGCTCAGGTGAAGGATTTCCAACCAGCTAGCGCCGACAAGCTTAGATGGTTTAGAAATAAACTGACCGATGTCACCCATGAAGTAAAAGCTGTACCAATAAAAGAAAGGTGCGCGCTTACGAATAAGAATATGCAAGCGCTACGAGAATTGCGTGCTAGAGATGTGATTGTGATGAAGCCGGATAGAGGCTCAGGTGTGGTTGTCATGAATAAATACGAATACATTCAGAAGACGAGTGTTGTACGCACTAACAGCAACAAATTTCGACGACATGAGAAGGCAGCTAACGTGACTTTTCGGATCCTGCATAATCCATCATTCAGAAGTGCTCCTCCAGTATCGCGTGATCGACGATACTACTTATAACTGTTTAAAATTGAGTGGTTCAAATACACCTCAGCTCTATAGGCTTCCGAAGACACAAAAGAGTGGAGTGCTTCTCAAATCAATTCTCTCGATGGTAAATGCACCCCAACATAAACAAGTACGCTGGTTGGTGAAGTTGCTTTCTCCCATAGTAACACATTTCAAAGATTCGTTTGAGCTTATCGAAGACCTCGATAAAGTGCATCTGACAAACTGATATGTTATGTATACGTAAAATCCTTGTTTGCCAACGTCCCGCTGCATCAGACGGTAGACTACATTTGGGAATTAACAGCAAGTCCAAGTTGATAGTTACCGATACTGGTTGAGTTATTACGAGAATCTGCTCCTGTGTATAATGTAGAATTTTCTTTCAAGGAACATACTGTAGTGTCAAATTGACGGGGTAGCCATGGGCAACCCACTGGGCTCCATTTTTGCGGATTGCTTTTAGCTTGATGGTAGCTCGACGTATATCCAAAGAACTAGCTCAGCTGCCACACTACAAACGCTATGTGGATGAGGTCTTGACCTTCTTTCATCAGAACGGCAGCCAACGCAACTAGTGAGGCGGTTAAATACTGTGCACGCCAACTTGAAGGTCACTTGCGAAGTTGAATAGCAGAACCGCCTCCTCTATTTAAACAATGCCCTCTGGTCAGGTATACTCCGGGTGTAATTGGGACTGGAGTTTGTAGTAGCAAAGCCAGTAATTCAAATGTCGGAATGTCGGAAGTCCTGCTTTAGTTGCCGGTAAGAGAACCAGATGGATCCAAGCGGGTCATGGTGTTGTCACGTAGGATTTAGGTAAGATCACTGTAGGAATCAAAAGATTCAAAATCCAGACAAAGAGACCTTGGAATGCTGATTCCAAGCGTTGTTTGTTTTATAGCAAATCCGAGAGGGTACCACGCGGATAATTTCGAATCCGCCGCGGTAAAATTGGTCATAATTGACCTTGATACCAATATAGAAAAACAACTGTAAGATATAACTAAAACGTTACATCCGTAGTCAGCAGTGTAACAGAGCATTTCAATGATAGCAACCACTACCGAATTTGAAGTAACTGCGCCATCTTGCATACATGACCCTGACTGCGCGTTATAGGTCTCGATGATGAGCTAAAAGACACAGACACAACTGCAGCGAGTAGGGTATGACAAATTCATCTGGTGATGGCTCGGTTGGCAAAATTTGGATTCATACCTGCTCATCCATTTGATGTGGGCAGATATGCAGAGCATCACAGATGTGAAACGAAGTATAACTTTTCCAGCTTCCACCCGTTGGTAGCTGCAAGATTGGCGATAGTCGCACGACACCCAGGGCCGAACCTGTCTGGTGGTCTGGGTACTGTCTAATTTGGCAGCCGTATGTAAGGTGTAGTCGGAAAACCATTGCATTTAGGCCCATTGGTAACTGCATTTGTGCAGTTGATGCATCAAGTCAGTTACAGGGTGTTCATTAAGATACTTAACTGGCCAACTGCAGTATTGCTTCGGAACAGTGTAAGCATCTTGCACATTTACTTCGATTTTGCGCACACAGCTGTTGTCCGACTTCATAACATTACGGACTTGAAAGTTCACACGGATTATCCTGGCCGTATTGCAGGCTACCTTGTTTGTAGTGTGTAATCATTTGTTCGGGAATTAATACAACCGGCTATACTTAGAGCATCAACTGTTGGCTTTCTTTCAAAGTTTTACCATCATACTTACTATAAAATATGCGGGAAGCGTATCTCCTGTTTTCGTTCTTTGTCACGCTTGCTAGTGCATTCACTATCTTCCGTGCTAGGTTGTCAAGGTTGCGGACCCAGTATTGATCGGTTAAGCCTCCTTCCTAATGTGTGAACCGAGTGTATGGTCACTATAACACCCACAGTAGAAGAAACCCGTATACCTCTACCATTCACGGGTGACAATAATTCGGGGCAGCTTGGAGAAAGCGATTGAGATAGATCGCCAATAACATCTATGGCGTCCGACAGGTACGCATTATTTTCACACTCACGCCTGTACAACGCCTCCAGCTGAATGATTATTTGTCCTTATGTGTGATCTTCTGTGTTGGCCAATATACTTGTACCTGTGGAAGAAGTTACATAGGAAGCACCACGATACTTTTATCTGAAAACGTACGCGAGCATCAGCCATCTTTGTCAAGCCGGGCACGTAGAACACACAATAGTCGCTCACCTAGTCCAAACGAATTAAGCCGTCGTTATCTCTATAGCGTTACATCCGATATACTGCATGAATGGTGTTCACTCTAGACCTATCAGATGTTAAACTCTTACCTCAGCGGAAGCGATAGTGACTCCCTTCAACGACTCCCGTTGTGTGTGTGCATAAACAGTGCAAGGCTTTGGCTTTATCGTGGCCAGCTGTCGTCCGAGCAGTCTCTTCGTGAATAAATCACACCCATTATGGTCATCATGGCACGTTAACTTTCTAGTTATTTAATCCACCCCTACTTGTCAAAAGTATATAAAGATGCTGTATTTAGCCTTCCGATGAATCACTGAAAACGTACTTGTCTGTTTTATTGACTTTCATAAATAAACCGAAGTATTCCCCATTTGAAGCTTCCGTGTTATCGGTTTTCCAGCTGGACTCATTTTATCCACGGGACAGCATCGTCTTCAGTAGTTCTTGACTTATGCGTACCAGAAGTGATCAGGCAATCCGATATGTCTGAAATCTACCTGATTTTTCGATATTAGAGGGCAGACTGTGTGACACAATAAGGTCTGTTTGTGAGACCCAGTCAGGTAAGTGGTATAGGCTTATCCACAGTTATCAATCATGTAATCGTCTCGCCTTAACAACTTGTTACACCATCAAGAATATATACCACTCAAACTTCTTATGCATACACTTTTGTTACACAGGTGGCCTGGACGAAAGGTAGCTTCTTGATAGCTGCTCGGCGGGAATTTCTGCAGTTTGCTCTCACCGACCCTCGAGCGCTAGAAATTCTGAAGGCAATGAAGGCCGAGGAGCATGTTCGAAAGATTCAGGATGAGCTTTTCTTTTCTACTCTGGCGTACTCTCCAGAGCTTGGTGCCCCAGGATCATGTCGACTAATTCATCCGCCGTCTTCCTCGGACCCTCGATCTTGGTTCCTAGTGCGTTACGTCAACTGGGATACAGCGGACTGTCCGAGTATGGTAGCCGTGCACGGGATTTGCATTTTTGGTGTGCGGGACATACCCATTCTCGTGAGACAGCCCCACTTGTTCGCTAACAAGTTTTTGCCGACCTTCCAACCAGTGGCCTACGATTGCATGGAACAATGGTTGGAACAGAAGTTAATTGCAGAACGATCTTTTCACCGATTGGACCCACAGTTCAATGCGACACTGTTTGCCAATTTATACTGCTCCCGAGAGCATATCTAATTTTCTCTGCGGAACAGAGCATCTCACATTCATTTCTTCACTGCTTCTTTTTCGAGATGGATTTTCAAAGTCATTGTGTTCATCATGAAGCTGGCTTTTGAGCAAAAGTCGGGTCAATGAGGAATAACTATAGAACAGTGTTTCTTAACCTTTTTGAGGCTGTTACTCCCAAAGCGGGTTCACTATAAACCTTTAGCTCGAGAAAAATGTTTACTTTGAAAGCTAACTACCCTATAACTATTGAACTTCTTGGTTTTACTTACGGAAGATAAACACACTTTTAATTAATCTCGATCATTTAAGGAAACGCCTATTTTTGAGCAAGCTTTAAATAATCAAGTGGTGATGTGCGTTAATGAGACGGTTGCTCTAATCATTTCTGATAGATTTGGTGTGCTTTTGGCTAATGCACATCGTAAGTCCTGCTCCGAGTTCATTTGGTTTCTTGCTTCGGCATGGGATCCCTGATCAAACATGAACAGCTGTCAGCGGCTTCGCATTTGTTCCAACCATCCCTTCCAAGTCCGTGTTGAATGACAGCTTCCCATCACCACTCTGTATCGATACGACCTGAACACTAATCGCCTGTTTTGTCCCTTCTATCTTGTAAACATTCACTCACTCATTTACCTGGTCGACTATCATACGCTCATACCCATTGAACGAGTGTCTGACTCAACGATCGACGAACGAGTCGCTACAGGCGAAATGCAGCTGCGTTGCTTTGCAAGGTTGTATTGGTAGTTGAGGTTGTAAAATTTATTACCGGAATTTGTCTAATTCACTGACCACTCGCTACTGATCGGTCACTGATGGATAAACAGCAATGATAAGATGGTTAAGTGAAAGTCTTGATACTAGTAATTTTGCGATTATCTTTGGCAAAAATATTTGTGACCCAATCCCTGCACTTATATTTACCCCTAGTAAAATTCCATTTTACCCCATTGGGGGTAATTACTCCCGGATTGGAAACCACTGTTATAGGACATTGACTTTAGAATCTGTATGAACATGGCAACATAGTTTAATAAACAACGATCCAATAACTTGTTCTGTATTTTAAGCTGCCTTCTGAGGCAGATTGCTAAAAATATACATTTTAATGTAAACTGCAATCGTGATTGCTTCTCTGATTTCGGTGCACATAAATAGTAGTGAAAATACTAATCCGTATTCCTGTTCTGCCTAAAGGAGACTAAACATCCCCCATGAGAAATCACAGTTTTCATCTGCCTACTAGTTGCAGTGCATTTAACCAAATTCTTCATTTATATACGTCTACAAAGTCAGACCATTTTTGTCCATCTTTAGGGAAATATAGAGTATTTTGGCGATTTCCTGCATCCTTTGGTCTCCGTGTGACGGATGTTTATTTCAATTCCATGTTATAACACTTCTCTAATTAACCCACTGAACTACTATACACAATTCCACAACATGGCTGGGGAGCAGGCGTCATTGTATGACGGTATTTTGCAATGCTTCCATCTCGATAAGCGTAAAACCTGTTTCCTGTGTATTCGGTTTCTTCCCAAATGAATCCTCCCACGTGTGTACCTGGAGATGTGGATGGCGCTTTCCCTTACTTATTGTAAACTCACCTTTGAACGCGGGGAATTTCAAGTGTTCACCACGACAAGTAACCAGTTTTGGTTTGACAGGGTATCCTTTGCTCCCAGGGCTCCGACGGTCGACAGAATGCTGCACAGGCAAAGCTTTAAGAGTTGTTAACATGCAGTGAAGCAATTCCCCTGCGCACAGTGTTGGTGCTTTATTGACGTATTTTACAAACACAGCTGTGGAAATTGTGAAGATGTGCAGCTCCAAGTGTCGATTTGATGATGGTTGAGCATCTAACGTGTATCATTTTTGCATCGGTAACACACTCTTCAATATTAACCTAGTGGAGAAATTGTATTTATAGGTACATTACTTTCATTGTCAACGGAAAATCGGGTGCGTAAGGTGCTTTTAGGTTAGCAAAAGGTCAAGTTTCACAAAACCAGCGGGATGGCTGTTTACGAGTAAACGCCACCCTCAGGAAACGGTTGCAAATGGACCAAAACAAATGTTACATTCAAACTATACGGGGTTGTTTACGATAAATTGATTAAATTCGTGTACAAACCCCACTTGTTCACATTTGGAGGTTGAAAAGTGGTGCTGGCGTAGCGCTCAAGCAGTTACCTTACGAGAAATCGTCTCACATCTGACTGTCAAGAATTCAAGTGACAAGTAACTTGTATTTTGTATTTTATCAGTACCTTTGAGATACCATTCGACAGAGCTTCTTTAAGACTACCAGACAAGATATAACTTAGTACTGTTTACCGTAGATACAGCCTATATTGTCGTCTCCCAGTTACCACTGTATTTTTACGTGCCTTTCACCACACGAAGCCTGTGTGATTTTGCTCACCCATGCGCCCAGTGAAGCACCACTACCGAACCCTCTGGCACAGTTCCTGCTTACCAACGCAGACAACTGAAGCAGCCCGAACGGTGTGAGCAACGCAACCTAAAGGTACATACGAACCATCAAGCTACAGGCCGGAGAAGTTTGTTAACCAGGAATCTACATCAGTTCCCGAATGATTGCTTCCATAGTGCAGTTGAATTTCTTTCCAAGGAGCTGATTTGCAGCCGTAAGCTAAATGAACTTAGTCCCTAACGCATTAGAATTGCATCCATTACCTTTTCGACGTGCCATGCGCCCAGCCCAAATCAGCCGATGAGGCAATAACACTTGCATGAATAGAATGAATTGATGGTGTGCAGTGGAGACACCTAGACGTTCTAACCTCTATTCAGCCGTCATTTGGTTACTGGGAAGCTAGTACCCCACAGGCTAGGGGCACAATGTTGTCCAAACTCATGTGGTGCGAATGGTTCGGGGTTGAGGATGCGTAAGTAGACTACCATTCACGCAAACACATACACTCTCCATAGCGCCAGTAGAGGGGGGTGCAGACACGGCAATGCGACACCCTATAACTGATCTTATGGCTAGTTCGGCACTGACGTAGCCTAACTTTTAGGACGACTTATCAATAGTCGGACAATCTGCCCGGCTAGCAAGAAAGTCACAGGGGCATGCCTGCGATTAATCGGGGACGGGGGCGCCAAAGAGCTGTGAGGGCTTGCTAGTAACTAACCAACCAAATAAATAAATAAACGGTATAGTTCTCCACGTGCGAGACAGGCAAAATGCCTGCCAGAACAATTGGTAAAACAAAGTCGGATAGCAGAGGGATTTTTCAAGACTGAACTGTACCGGAAAACACGCTCGTTCAGCATTTTGCAACATAGGATTTTACGGTTGTTTAACCCTAAAAACAGCCACACGTTTTACTGACTGCACATCCGTTGACACAAAGCGTTTTGGTGAGTGACTTGCTGCACCGTTTCTTGATCTGGCTGATTCGCTTCCAATTTTGGTACCCTGCGCAATATACTTGGGTTCTGTCGCCTCCAGCTTCTATAATGTCCCGTATTTGACACGTCCCTAAAGTGTCATATCTTACCGACTAGTATCCCAGGCTCCACCCAACAACTGGTGGGCCCCTGTCAGCAGCACGCCGTCCGCCGTTGTGAGTTTTCACTCTGCCAAGTGGCTACTCCGCTGCAGACAATCCCCCACGCTGGCCTGTAATGGTTAATAACGGTGTCGGAAAAGCCCAAAGTCGTCTCATCTACATTAAGCATAATGACTCCGAGACCCAGTTCTTAGTTAATATCGGAGCGGAAGTCAGTGTCATTCCCCCTATTCCAGGTGAGCCTCTAGATTTTTTGTCGACAAAGCTCACTGCCGACAATGGCACGCTAATAGCCACCTACAGTCATCGGTCGCTTACCCTGGACCTAGGTCTTCGGCGCACAGTCCGCTGGGTATTCACCGTCGCTGCAGTCCCCTCAGACATCATTGGCATGAATTCGCAGGAATTTCGACCTCTTGGTCGATGCGAAACGCCAGATGATAGTCGACACTGCAGCGAAACCCAGTGTAGGTGGCATCACCGCCGATATCGCATCTATAAAACCGGTCTATGCATTTCCCCAGATCTCGCCAGACTACAGTAACCACTTTTCTCAGTATTCCAAGCTCGTTTAGCCAATGAACACAGCTTTGCCCGTGGCAGCTCAACTCACGCACCACATACGGACGTTAGGTCCACTCGTCTCATGCCGTCCACGCCGACTATCACCCGAGAAACTAAAGGTAGCTAGGGCGGAGTTTGAGCACATGCTTGAACTTGGAATAATCCGCCCTTCCGATATCCCTTAGTTCTCGCCCATGCAGGTGGTCCCCAAGTAATCTGGTAACTGGCACCCTTGCGATGATTAACGCACACTCAATCGGCTAACCGTCCCAGATAGGTATCCCATCCCACACATGCAGGACCTTACCGCATGCCTCACAGATAAGACGACCTTCAGCAAGATCGATCTGGTTCGCGCCTATCAGCAGATACTTGTAGCAGAAAATGAAATTCCTAAAACAGCCGTTATCACCACTTTCGGCTCGTTTGAATTTCTAAGAATGCCATTTGGACTATGAAACGCCGCACATACATTCCAACGCTTCATCCACTACGTCACTCGTGGCCCAGGCTTCGTTTATTCCTATCTCGATGATATTTAAATAGACAGTTCATCGGAACAAGAGCACCTCGAGCATCTTCGAACTCTGTCCCAGCGTTTGACCCAACACGGTGCCACAGTCAACCCGACAATTGCGAACTCGGCAAATCAACGGTGGAATTCCTGGGCCACCTCGTTTCATAGTCAGGCATCGAAGTCCTTCCTGATAAGATCCAGGTAATCAAGGACTTCCTAGCTCCGACTTCATTCAAACACCTCCGTCGATTTTGTGGTTTGCTCAACTATTATTGAAGCTTCATTCCGCGCTGCGTTTAGCTCATGCAGTCTCTGACCGACCTACTCAGAGGGAATGAACGTAAATTCGATTTCCCTGATACAGCACAGGCAGCCTTCGC